CATAAAACTGTGAAAAATAAACTATTATTTCCTGTTTTTACTGCTTTAATGTTACGCGTGTAATTTTATGTGTGTACATGTGCAAATAATTCGTCAGTGAATTTTTTATCTTGCTTTGGATATAACTTATTCAAGAAAATGTGCACAGTTTGATAGTTGCATTTAAAAAAACGGATCACATCTTAAAATGAGAGAAGATAATGGATATAACTCAAAATGCATGTTCAAGGAGATGGCAATATTTATATAAGAAAATTGATATTGAATTCGAAGCTAATGTTATGTTCATTGTACTTTAAAAGACTTTACTAGCGAGTAATGATTATTCATGGTGTTGTGTTAAAAAAATAAAATCTAAGTGAATTTTCATATTTGCTTCGCACTTGCCGTTTTTCAGAGTAATTTAAAATTTGGGTAATTAAAAAATTTGATTCAATGATTCTCTCCTTATTTAAGAACCGTAAAGGTCATCGCTGTTTCGGGTTTTCACCTTAATGTTATTGTTTTTCTGCGAAAAAACTACTTAAACTTAGAAACTCAAATTGCAGAGATGTATAGAAAACTGCACAGGGATTATAATGAAATAATAAAAATTATTTAATAATTAGTTCGACAATCATTTACTATTAAACTTGCAGAAAAATTTATCGTACGGACCACTCTGCAGGCTTAAAGAACGCAATTACAGAGTTGAAATTTGACGTGCTAAAAGTGCCATTTTTGCTTTTGAACTTCAGACATAGTTTTTTTTTCGAATTGTTCGAAATCAATTTGTTCCAAAGTCATAGTAATTTTAAATGCTTTTTTGGGCAACTTTTTCTCCCTATTTTTTTCGCATTTCATTATACTTTACAGTGCAAAAACTATAAGACTAAGAAAATTAAAATTTAAGGAGGTATGTAGAAAAATGTACAAAAAGTTCGATGAAATAAACATTTTATGATACGGTTATTAGTTCGAAAACTATAAACTGTTAAATGTATATAAAAAGAAATATCTTGGCCAATCTACTGCCCGCTGAAATGCAACAGCTGAGTTGAAATTTGACGTGCTGATAGGTTTATTTTGAATTGCAAAATTAACGAGATATTTTCCATAAGTTCTAATTTGTTCGAAAGTTATTGCAATTTTAAGTGCTTTTTAGCACTTTATTTTCTTTAAATAATAAATTTTTACTTGCAGTTATATCTTTATGTATAGAGCGAGATTTATTCCTTATTTTTATAAAAATAAATAAAAAATGAGAGAGATTAGATTTTGCCATGTATAAATATTATTTATATCAAAATTTTGAAAAATACAAATACGAAGAGTGATGAAGACTGTTTCCAATGCATACTATTATATGATATAAGGTCATAGTTATATATTGTTAACAACTAAAATTGCTTTTCAATTATTATTGCTTATTGTGACGCACATTCTGTATTCCTCATTCCCCCCTTTTTAAAGTACGGTTGATTATTTTTCCAATCCAGGTATACTTTAATTTTGATACATTTGACATATTAATGAAATGTGCTTACATAAAATTATAATATTTACATATTTTTCGAACAAAATTATTTTTTATCGACTTTTTCCGAAGAAACAAACAATGATGAATGCGAAGCAAACAGAAAGTTGAGCCCCTTCTAGTAACGTTAAAAAGACGCATTATTTTTAAACGCACACTTCAAGCTATTTCCTTTCCTTTGAATGCCCATTTTAATCCATTTATTGTCCTTTTTTTCTTTTACAAAAAAGTTTTTTAATACATAGTTTGAAGATTCAAAATTGAAGATTTTTTAAAATCATTTTTAGCCAGTCATGAAGGCTTTGCACCAGTCTAGGTCTATAATATTGCTTTACAGAATTTTAAACATTTTCTTAAATATATTTTTGAGATTGGAGTAAAAATTTTATATTTTCTTCTGAATAGAATATTTTTAAAGAAAAAATTTTTGTAACTGTTACGGCTAATGAATAAGCTTGAATCTCACCGCTGAAGATTTTTTAAATTTTGATTTCTACTTATTTATCTTTATTGAAATTCAGGACTCATTGGTGAATATTAACTTTTTATTAAGCTGTAGTTTCTTTAAAAACTGTTCTTAATATTTTCAGCTTAAGCTAACAATGTGTGTACGAAAATATTAATTTGAAATGTATGGAAAATAAAAGAATAAAATTCTTCTTAACTCGTTCCTAGACCCTTCGGTCAAAAGTGAGGATTGACACTAAATATATTGCAAGCTCCATAATTTTACTTGAAAGGAATATAATTTAATATGTAAATAGAATAGAATAGAATTTAATATGTTTTCGTCAGAGTTTAAAGTTTTTTCAAAAAAAATTTTTTTAATACAAATGTAGTACTTGAGCAACTACGGAGATTGAGCACAATTTAATAAGAATCATTGTTATTTTCTTGTAGTCCTGGCGTGGAAAAAATGCAACATTGTAAATAAACTTTATTAAAATAATAATTTTTTTAAATGATTTCGTGCATTTTCTCTCAATGAAAGAAGCATTTCAGCCTTCAATAAAAATCCGAAACTCAAATATAATAGCAAAATGAAAAAGTAAAGTAACAATCAGGGTTAAACTGAGAGTTCGGTTCTGACCTTTGCTGCTCCATACATTCAAAATTATTTAAACAAAAAAAAAATGTTACGTAAAAAAAAGTTTACTTTAGATTTTTACCCAAACTTTTTTTAACCTTTAAAACTATTTTCGGGTTACATCATTTTTAAAAATGTGTCTTCAATTATATTGATTAAAATGACCTGTTTTTTATGTACCTTTATGATTATTAGACATAGCTTTGAAAATACGTTTTATTCTTAAGTTTGTTTACTGTATAAATAATTACATTCTAAAAATAGCGCAGATGCTTTAAATATGTTTTTAATTGCAGATTTAGATAATCATTTGCTAGCTTAAAAATAAATTTTCAATACTTAGCTCAGGGTGACCTGAAAATAACAGGAGTGTAGAGAATATGTAAATATAACAAAACAGAACAGAGAAAACTTCATATTCGAATAGAAAATAATGTCTCCAAATACAATGGATCTTTTAAAGGAATCATTTGTACTATGAAAGAATTGCATAAATTTCAGTAGCGAATATTTAAATATGGTAAAACAAAATAGAAAACTATAAGTTCGAATAGAAAATAAAGTCTCCAAATACGATGGATTTTTGAAAAAAAAAAGACAATTTGTGCTACGAAAGAATTACATACATTTTGATTGAGAATATTTAAATATGATAAAACAGTATAGAAAAAACTATATATTTGAACAGAAAATTTGTTCAAATGGGATGGAGTTTTAAAAAATTCTTTGATCTACTACAGAATTGTATAAACTACGATAGAGAAGATTTAAATGTGATGTAACAGAATTTAAAACTATTTATTTGAACAGAAAATGTGTTAAAAAACAATGAAGTTATTAAAAAACATTTTGTGCTGCGAATGATTTGCAAAAACGTCGATAGAGAATATTTAAGTATGATAAAACATAAAACTATATATTTGAATAGAGAATGTGTCCAAATACGATGGAATTTTAAAAAAAATAATTTGAGCTACGAAAGAATTGCATAAATTTCGATGGAGAATATTTAAATACGATAAAATCGAATAGGAAACTATTTATTTGAATAGAAAATGCGTTCAAAATACTATGGATTCTTAAAAAAAATTCTTTATGCTACGAGAGAAATGCATAAACTTCAAATGAAATTTAAAAATTTTGACAAGTATGGTATTTTCCTTAAAAAAAAGTCAAGGTCGGAAAAGTAACAAATCTGTTTCATTAAAAACAGCAATATAAATATTTTTTTGAAATAGTTTAAAGCAGCTTTTTTTTAATAAGTTCGAAAGTATGGAGTGTATTTTTTTTTAAAAAAAACAGCACTTTTTTTAAAAAAATGCAAAGACTTCTTTATTCAATTTTTTTTTCATAAAGTCTAAATAAATATTTGTGTTACTTAATGTAATTTGTCCCAATAGTTTCGTGAAATTATCTCAAACAACAATTAATTCCCTTGACCGTCATGTATAAACTCAAAAATTCAGAGCAACAGTTAATTATTTGTATTTTATTAATCGCGGCTAAAAGTAGCTGTTTAAAAAATGCAGTTAAAAACTGCGAAAATATACAACTGTTTATAATAAGCCTTGGAGCTATAATGAGCCGTTGGATGTTGCCCTCGCCTCCCAATAAGGTAACCCAGGTTCGAGTCCCAGTGATGTCCATTCGTTTCGAAATTCACCCCGGTTTGCACCAATCACATTGCTGACGTAAAATATCCCCAGTGATAGACGGATCATGGGTTAAAGTCCCCTTGCCGTCTGGGTAGCCGTGTAAGATTCTCGTGGCTTTCTTCCCCATATAACGTAAATGCAGGTTTGTTTCATCGAAAAGTCTTCCACGCATTCTATTATTGTCCCAAAGCTTAGTTCAAGAGTCCCCATGTCTTTGGGGTTGGGTTCAAAATTACACGGTCAAAGAGTTGGTCATTAACTGTTGTAAACTCAAAAATTGGTCAACTGTTCAACGTCGGTTATAAAATAAAAAAAAATAATTTTTTATAATATGTTTCAGATTTTTATGCGAAATTTTTAAAAATTATAATAGCTTATTTATACTTTTTTGTCTAACTACTTTAATAATTTGAGTCAAACAAATTGTTTTTAAGATTATTTCAGTTAATAAGGTTAAATATTTCTAATACATGACTCTCAACGAGTATTTTTTTTTTAATTTATAAACTTATGCCATCATTTTCTTAAAATTTAAACTGTAACTAATAGGAAATCAATCTTAAAGAGAATTTTAAAAATAGCATGATTACACAATTTGACAATATTATCAAAGTTCTTTTAAGTGATTTTAATGTACACCTCATTGCCAATGAATTGATAAAACAACTATTGTTTCAAAATCAACTGACGTTAAGTTTCTATAGCAACGAAATTCTGTTGCCAAAAGAACTTTTACTATCAAAAACTAGTTTCATTTTAAACATCAACATTGAGATAAACTCATTCCAGTTAAAATATTAAGATTATTATTTGATGGTTTGTACAAATAAGAACGAATCCCCCAAGAAATTATATGAGAAAAAATAGTGAATAATATTTCTAAAGTGCAATTAATCGTAGTTTTTTAGTGAAGTATGATTCCATTCAATGCACTGTTGTTTATTTTTATATCTGGTGTAGCTGCAGTAAGCCAAAAAGAAAAAAAGTTACAGAGTGAGTATTTTATTCTTTGTTTTAATAACATTATGGCTTGTAGTTTAATAGATAAAAAAAAAATTCATGTTTAAAATCTATGATGGAATAAAAGTAACTTAATTAAAGCGTCAATTTGTTTAGCCCAGTGGTCCCCAACCCCCGGTCCGCGGACCGGTACCGGTCCGTGGATAAAATGGTACCGGGCCGCCCATTTCATTGAAACTGAATACCCCAAATTAAAAATATCTGTGTTCCATTAAAATTTTATTTATTTAAAAAAAGATGCCCCCGAAGGTAGTAACATAAATTTTTTAATGTTTAAAAAGTTAAAAAAAAGAAATCTGCAACTATTTTTTCATTCAATTTGTTTTAATAAAAAAAAGACAAAAAGCAATCATCGTAACTGCAAATATCATAAATAAAAAACGAAAGCGCGACGCGACATTTGCATTGGAACTAATAAAGAACTTCGTCTTCTCTCTCGATTCTGACGCCTCACACAGCGAGAGTGTATAGTAAGGCTATAAAAGAGAAGCTGGCTCGTCTGCCATTTAGTCGCCCAAAGACCACGTGACCATGATTCCTCTCTACTGTTTTGTGTGCTTTATGCGGATTTGTTTGTTTTTTGTAAAAAGAAAGTGTCTATCACTCCTCTCTCTGTTCACCGGTACTTTCTCAGGTTTAACAGTGCTTGGTGTACGTGTGTATTGTGTCTGCACAAATTTAACTCACAAGTTAGCAAACATGAATACAAAACAGACGTCCTTAGAAAGTTTCCTTGGAAAAAAGAAAAGGCTCAGTGAAGAGACCGAAGAGCCTTCAACATCAAAGAAACATGCAACTTTTAACAGACAATACCATGAGTCCTACTTGAAGTATGGTTTTGTCGGGACAGGCGATTCACACAAACCAAAACCGCTCTGCATAGTTTGCGGCGATCAACTCTCTAATGACGCAATGAAACCTTCAAAACTGCTTCGCCACTTGAACGCCAAGCACCCTGGATTAAAAGACAAGTCCCTGGAGTATTTTGAAAGAAAAAAACGGGAACACGAAGGACAGAAAAAATTTATGATGGCCACCACATCAATAAAGGAGAGTGCACTAAGAGCATCATATTTGGTGGCTAACCGCATTGCTAAAGCTAAAAAGCCATTCAATATTGGTGAAGAATTAATCTTGCCCGCCACTAAAGACATTTGCCGTGAAATACTAGGAGAAGCTGCTGTGGAAAAGATAGCACATGTGCCTTTGTCGGCTAGCACTGTGACTAGGCGCATTGAGGAAATAGCCGAAGACATTGAAAAGCAATTGTTGGAGAGGATTAATGCATCACCGTGGTACGCACTCCAGGTTGACGAATCTACAGATATTGACAGCAAGGCAGTACTACTTGTTTATGTGCGATATCTATATCAGGAAGATGTGCATGAGGATTTGTTATGTGCACTATCTTTGCCAACCAACACCACAGGAGCAGAACTGTTCAAGTCACTGGATGGTTATATATCAAGACAACTAAAATGGTCCTTTTGTTTAGGCATATGCACAGACGGAGCTGCTGCTATGACCGGACGTCTATCTGGTTTAACTGCTCGGATTAAGGAAGTTGCACCTGAGAGTGAAGCTACACATTGTCTCATTCACAGGGAAGTGCTAGCAAGCCGAAAAATGTCACCAGAATTTAACAGCGTATTGATTGATGTCGTTAAAGTTATTAACTACATCAAAGCACACGCCCTTAACTCGCGCCTGTTTGAGCAGCTTTGTGAGGAGATGGACGCAGAGTACAGATGCCTTCTGTTATACACAGAAATAAGATGGTTATCCAGAGGAAAATCGCTACTGAGAGTATTTGAATTGCGAGAGCCATTGCAAAGATTTCTCTTAGAAAAGAAGTCACCGCTGGCAGCACATTTCAGTGACAAGGTATGGGTCACCAAACTGGCTTACCTGTGTGACATATTCAACCTGCTGAATGAACTCAATCTGTGCCTTCAGGGGAAAATGACAACTGTTTTCAAGTTGGCTGACAAAGTAGCTGCCTTTAAAGCCAAACTGGAGTTATGGGGACGACGCGTGAACAGAGGCATTTTCGACATGTTTCAGACATTAGCGGGTATTTTAGGCGAGACAGAGCCTGAAGATTCATTCTCCCAGTTGGTTCACGATCACCTGTCTTTGCTTTTAAAAGAGTTCGAGCGCTACTTCCCAACCACAAAAGACCCACGAACTGGTAAGGAATGGATCCGCGACCCATTTGCCAACAAATCGGGTGAATCTAGCTTGTCAGTGCAGGAAGAAGATCAACTGTTGGAGATTGCTAATGAAGGCGGGCTCAAAACTACGTTCGAAACAACAACTCTGCCGGTGTTCTGGATTAAAGTCTTGGCAGAATACCCCGAGATTGTCACCACAGCACTTAAATCCCTATTGCCATTTCCAACAACCTATCTGTGTGACAGCAACTGCAGTAACAGCAACCAAAACAAAGCAACGGAATAAACTGGAGATAAGCAACACACTTCGGGTGTCATTGTCTCCGATTACCCCCAGATGGAGCCGTCTCATTGCAAAGAAACAAGCTTAGAGTTCTCATTGATCTAACGTTCCAGCAAGTTAAAATGTTAAATCACTTTATTTTTTGGTTTAACTGTATTTTATTTTGAAGGTATGTTTAAATACATTTAAATTAAAATAATCTGAAATATAAACAATCAATGCCCCCCCCCTTAGTGGGCCGTGGTAAAATTATCAAACGTTGACAGGTCCGCGGTGATAAAAAGGTTGGGGAACACTGGTTTAGCCAATAAGAAAAAGTTAAGCAGAATAATTTTTACTATGCTAACATATTTTATTTCTGAACTACTGAGAAAATCGAATAAATAAAATTTAATCTCTGATTAAATCGGATACGACTCTCAGAAATAAGACTCTCACTTTTAACGATTCAGTAATCTTTGAATCTTTTCATTAATTTTGGGAATCATTTTGTCACGAAGTCACGTGATTTGTGACGAAACAGGATAATGTTTCATCAACTCTAAACCTCATCGGAAGGCATTGTGGGATTTTTTTTAACCAGAATGACGAAGCTAGGATAAAGACTAGACATTCGAAAATAAAGTGTCGGATTAAGCCAACCGGTGGTCAAAGTGCTAGCCTTGTATGAAGAAAATTCTGGGTTTGAATCCCGCTTCGAGCTTGGGTGTAATTTATCTCTGTGCTCTATTTGCCCTTGTTGTGTTGCGCCATCTATATAGTACCCACGATAAAGTGATTATTGGAAAAGTTAGATATATATTAATCACAACGAGAGTTTTTTTTCTTGGAAAAAATAGAATGACGAAATATCTCTTTACTTTAGACGAAATTCGTTTCCTCGAAGAAGCAGCAGTAGTTATTTTGTCACATTTGACAAAATGTTCGCTCGACGAATATACCAAGGAACGGCTTCTTCAAAAACGAAGAAAGTTACGTGTCAGAAACGTATAAGACAAAAAGTTAGTTTTTTGTAAAATACCCATATTTTCATAAATATTTAAGCTATGCTTACACAATTTTGTGCAATTTTCGTATATAATAGCCAAAATAATTGTTACAAGTAACAAATTTCTTGCTAAATTTTTTTGGCGTATTGAAAAACACTATTTTCCGTTTGAAATTTGTTGTCGGTCCCTCATACCTCTAAAAGCTTTAAACTTCATTAATAAGTATGAAAAATTGCATAATCTAAAAAGTTCTGAAGTTATAAAATGATTCTCTAAGTATTTCTTGAGAAATATAAAAAAATTTATTAGTATAGAGATGTTTCCATTATTTTGTCCACTCCCTGTATATTCATTTATTTGAATTATAATTTTAATCCTAGATCTGAATATAATTCAATTTTTCTGTGGTAGTACGATTATTAATTAGGTTTTCAATAAATGTATTTATTATACACAAATTCCCTACTACTAGCATCCTCTTCTGGAGAATAATATTGATCAAAAATTAAAGCAAGCTGTTTTTGGTTCTCCAAATCTACGATTGTTTTCGATGTCTTCTCTTTAAAAGGTCTTTATTGTATTCGATATTGAAAAAGTAACAAATTTGTGATAATAGTGCTTGAAGAACCGGAGATTTAAAAACAATGCCGTACATACGTATCTTCACTCCGAATAGAAGCATAGGGCTTCTATCATAGTTCTTCACCTCAATCCGTTTTTAGCCAGATATTTTGCCTATCTATGTCGTTCCTATTGTTTTCGGCTCACTAACAATCGTCAAACAATGCCATAGGTTGTTATATTATAAGCAAAAATTATATGCACTGTAAAAAAAGTTCGGATCAAGTTATGGTAAAAAGTACCAGCATTCAAGTTGCCGGTACTTTTTATGCATAAAATGTCGTTTTTACAGGACAAAAGTATTCCGTATTTTTTACTGTACTAATTGCAGTGAAAATACTGAACGCTAATTAAATTAATATTATGGTAAAATGGATTTTACAGATGATGCGCCAAAAGTCTTGGTACTTTATACTGTAATTTTATCTGGCATTTTTCGCAGCGTTAAAGTGAGCAAAAATGGCTTGATGATTTTTCTGCAGGTGGTTAAACGTAAAATCAATCAAAGTCATTGTTTGTTGATCGATTAGAAAGGTAATCACTTAGTAAACAAAATGGCGAGATTAAAATAAATTTTTTTCCCAAAAAATTATAAATATCATTTTTATAATTATAATGATCATTTTTCAGTCGGTGGGAGAATGTAAAATCAACCAATGCCATTGTTTGTTGATCGATTTAAAAGATAATCACTTAAGTAAGAAAAAAAAATGGCGAGATTAAAATTATAATTTCTCTTTAAAAATATAAATAACTATTTTTATCTAATTGCATTTGGTAAAAAGATATTTCAAACATGAAAACTTTGTCTGTGTTTTAAATTGCTTAAATGTTTTCTTGATTGAAATATTAAATAGCTTGCCCACATAAATTTATTTTCACTTAAAATATAAATTAATTTGCATACTACGAGACAACAGGTTACGTTCTTTAGCGTTATAATAACTAAAAATAAAGCTTTAAAGGGAATGCAGAGGATATAGCTTTTCTCAAATAGCTGTCAGGTCATGAAAAAAAAAAGTAATAATTTTAATATTTTGCGAGCAACAGTATTAAAAGTAGTGATAAATACAAGAACCAAATCGGTAATATTAAAAACTTTTAATTGATCTAACTTGTATCCTTTAAAATTCTTAACTGCTGTAAATCAGATAATAAAAACTGCGGTTGATATAAAGTTAAAAAATTATACGATTAAAATTAAATATTTTTTTTCTTTATGATCCATGCATCGACGGAATTAACTATAAGAATTGAAATTAGGTTATAAGTCATTTTCATGCAGAAAAATAAGCCATAAGAATTAAATTTTATTTTCTAAAAATAACATTCTGTTTGTAAAATAAATTTATTGAATTAGGAAGCTTTTTTTATTTAATCAATATTTTATTACAACTAACTTTTCCGTGAAATTTAAAACTAACTTTATATATTTTTTTTTACTTTTAGTTTTCTTGTTAAAACTAATTAATTTTTAGTTAAGCAAGCAATAATTTTTGATCTTAATTACAGATGTCATAGAAGGTGATATCATGTTAAGAGAAGATAAGGATTACTGGGTATGTTTAAACTGTTTTCTTTCAAAATGTTTTCAAAAATTAGTTTATATTTTATATCGAACTATATCATTAATGATTTTTATGTTTCCTCTAGTATCTTATTAATTAGCATGAAAAAATTGTATTAAGAGGTTAAAAAAATTAAAGAGGACGTATTTCAGTTCATCACAGTAACATTTTAATAATTTAATTCCGTTACAGCATACGCTAAAAAACATTTGAATCAAATTACTGTATAAAGTATCGTAACGCATAATCAGTAAAATCCATTTTTAACGTAAAATATTATACTGTGGTTTTTACAGTAATATTTATTTAATTAGAGTAATTCAAAAAAAATCGATTCTTGCCTATTTCGTCTATCTAAAGTTTACTTTTTTACGAAATTGCGATAATTTTAGCATAAATGCTTCGTATATTCTCTCTTTTATACTATCGTATATCCGCAGATCCCAACAAATTATTGTTATTTTAAAAAGTAAAATAAAAATAACAATAATTGAAATGAAGAAAAAATGAAATAAATAAAAATAAAGAGAAAATAAAGCTTTCGGCAGCGCAATCAAACGGCACACAGCGCAATCAAATTAATTTACATTATAACATACATTACAATGTACGGATTTTGATAAATAGCGTTTTCGTTAAGGTTTTGTCAAACGGACTGCAAAAGCTGAATTAAATTACATACTTAAGGCCGAGATAGCCTGGTCGGTAGGGTGCTGGTCCCATGTCCGAGAATTCGAACCCCGCCGGCCGAAGACTCCCCGTGTAGTAAAGTGACTGATGCACGTTAAATCTGACGAGTCGCAAAAGTCTTCCATGTTCTCATAACAAATCAATACCTCTGGGGGTACTGGATTGGAGATCAATCGTTCTCTGATTCAGGTCAAAATTACGATCTGTGGATGAATGAATGGATGTATAAATGGGTCCGCCCTATAAACGGGTGTGACGTATGGTGTGGCAGAAGTCGAATTTTTGGCCATAGATGGCGCCACTGGAAAACAAGAACAATCGCACCCCCTCTGCCTAAACAGGCATACGTCAACAACAAAGACATACTTTTTTTGTTTTTATTTTTAGTGTTAAGTTTCACGCATGCGCTGTTAAGCTTAATTATCGTTTGCGTTAGCATTCACGGGAAACCTCAACGTAACGCAAAAGCTCTCTATTATAAAGGTTTCGCTGTCTTCTATTTAGAATTTTTAAAGATACTAGGAGACTCCGCCCCTGCTCGCTCCGCTCAACAATCCTCGTAATTGCTTCTCATTTATTATTGTTCTTCACATTCATAAGAAAAACAAAAAAGTTTGTTTTCAAAATAAACAATTATTTTAGATTTAAACAAGAACATTTCGTTAAGATAATAATCGTTGCGAAATAGACGATTATCTAGATTTAAAAAATGATCATCTCTATCCCTAAAGAATACAGATTATAGTACTAAAGAAGAAATGAATAAAAAAATTATTTTACTCGTTGACGAGAATTATATGAGTTTAAATAGGAATGGCTCTTTATTGAGCTTTTTTTGGTTTTTAAAAATTTCACCATGAATAGATTTAAATCTGGCAACAAGTTTTCTCTCTCTCTCTCTCTTTGCTACTTTTGATTGACATCTACTCCAGCGCGAGCTTAAGAAATAAAATAAGCAAAAATAAAAAAGAGATCTTCTGAGAGAAAAATAAATTTTCTACAACAATGGATAAATAGTCAACAAAGAAAAAATCTGAAAAATTTCACGAAAGAGCACTTAAATTTACAATAGCTTGCAAATTGAAATTTCGAAGTGAAATTCGCGTTAAGATCGCAAATAAGAAATGGGTCTTTTAGCACGTAAAATGTTAACTACATAGTTGCATTTCACTTCAGATCGAGGAGATATCGTATTTTTTCCCTACAAGTTTCACTGTTAATAATTTATGAACTAATTGTCGAATCTTAATTTTTTTTATTCCATATTTTAAGCTTCTATCTGCTATAGATTTTATGCAGAGTAAGATCTACCACAAAATTGGGGAAAGCACTAAAATTGCAATAACTGTCAAGCAAATTATAGTTTCAAAAAATATATAATAAGTGAAAAAGTGAAAACAAATAAATTAAAAATAAATTTAAAAGAAACTGTTTAATTTATAAAAAATATGGCTTTTGCAGCATTCCAAGTTTCAACTCTGAAGTTGCATGCCTGAGGTTAGGTACAGCTGCCCGAATGTTATTCTTTTCCTACAAGTTTAACAGATAATCATCGAACAAATTATTGAATGCTAACTATTTTTATTAAAGTGCAATTCCTGTACGTATTCACCATTGTAATTTCAAGTTTCTTAGTCTTATAATTTTTGCTCAGCAAAACAAAATGTAACATTAAGTTAAACACCCATAACAGCGACCCTTGCAATTATTTTACACAGAGATATTTTATTTTAAATTATTTTATTTCAAATTATTTTAATCAAGCATATATCATGTTTAAATCTGCCTTCTGTTTACTAAAGTCCTTCTTTCCTCGGTTGAAACTTATTGCACAGTTAATTTAAATTTAATAAAAATTTAAGAATTTATTAATTTGCTATGAATTATCCATATAAAGAACATGTATTGATTTTTAAACTTTATGACAGGGTCGAAAATCAGGTCCATTGGTGGATATGAAGAAGAATAGATGGACAGAAGGTATTGTACCGTATGTTCTGAATGAAACAGTTTACAGTAAGTACAATTTCTGATAAGTACTGTAAAATATTACAGTAATATAGAATTTAATTATAAAAAATCGTAGCCAAAACTGCCACTACTATTGTTTTGCGTGTTGTCATTTTAACGTTACTTCATGCATGTTTAGCTACCCAAGAGTATAAAACTTAAAAACATGAAATTACGATTATTTGTAGAATAATGTAAGATGAAATAAAAAGAATTTGGAATTTTTATCAACTAATTAAAATTAAAAATCAATTAATTAAAATTATAGTAAAAAATGCCTTATGAGCCGCTCTGCAGACCACAGAAATTCATCTACAGAGTTTAAATTAAATTTGTTAAAAGAGTTATTTTTATTTGTGAATTTAACGAGATTTTTTTCCTTGGAAATTCTAGTTTATTCAAAGTTATTGTCATTTTAATTTTTTTTTTGGCAATTTTTTCTCCTGTTTTGGTATTTATCTATTGTACTAGGAAAATTTATGTATCTCTCTTATTTACTTGGAATTTATTTGTAAGCTTGCACTTAATTTGATGTTAAAGGTAATAATAAAAACGAGAGAGAAGATGTCTGATAATCTTAACATTTATATTGAACTTTTAAATTCTTTTTAACAGCAGACACTGAACTTTTGCTCTTTAACGCTACCCGGTGAACACCTGTGTTCCTAAGTTACGGAGGCGAGTAACATTACCCACGCCAAAGATGTCCGTTCATGGGGACACACACAAAACAATGGACACATCATGTTCACACATCACAAAACAATGGACAACACACACAGAGAGAAACATCAATGCCCTGAGCAGGATCCTACCCGCAAGCATTGGCTTCGCAGACTGGCACGTTAATCGCTCGGCCACCTCGCCGGCACTTTTAAATAACATGAAATATTTATTAAAAGGGAGAAAAAATACTTTTTCAAATTTTTCATAATGATAAAGGTCACGTTAGCGAGTAAAATTACTTCTCACTCATTTTTTTTCTTTACACACTCTGTATTCTGAAAATTAGTTTATTAATTTTATTTCAAATATAATTGATTATTTTTCAAATCCAGGAAATCGTTCATTTCTTCACGATTAACTTATTAACAAAATATTCTTACATAAAACTATAATACTTATATTATATTTACTAGTAAAATGTTTTTTGAACCTAAAAAACCGTCGAATCATCTTTTTATTTATTTATTGGAATTCATATATACTTTTAGAATAAAATTCGTAAAAAGGTTTCACAATAAGACCTGAACCTTTTCAATATGTAATTGACATCAGCTGAAAAAAAAGTTAGGGATTTGATAATTCTCTTTTATACTCTTAAATGGGCTTTAAAAAAATCAAAACACGAGAGGTAAATTCTTTAAATAGAAACGAAAATTTTCATTCAATTCCAAATATACATTTAAATGAGAATAAAATTAATTGAATAAAACGTCCAATGGCACAAAGATCCAAAAAGAACAAGCTGAACTAAGTGATTAAAAAATTTTTAAATTTTTAAAATTAAGACAAAGTTATCAAACAAGTATTATTATAAGAATTATTAGAATTGGAAAAATTTATTTTGCCAATTTTTTTATTTATTTATTTATTTTGCACCCGGTAAACACACTTCTGTACTGTGCACGACATTGAGGTACAAGACCAAGTCGGTTCGATTGCAAACTTTGACGCTGATATCTCTGATGAAGCTGTGAGACATACCAGTATATCATTAGATCTAGATATTACTGGTTTAATCATTATATTACTGGCAATATCATTAGATCTAGATATTACTGCATTAAAGCGTCTCTGTGATACCTGTTTAACTGTTTCTGGAAATAACTGCAATCAACACCTGTAACATGCATGCATGAAATAGCCTAAAGAGATGATTTACTGTTTTTATTTTATCCCCTTCGTTGAACAGCCGACCCAATATTTGAGTTAGCAACTGCCAATATTCAACTCCATAACCTTATAATTTCGAACACAATTCAAAAGACAAAGGAATTTATGGGTTAGAATAAATTTGCCTTCGAGGAGGACTTTTTGATGGAACTAGCCCTCATTTGCATTACACGGAGAGGAAAGCCACAGAAACCTCCCACGGTTAGCCTAACGACAAGGGGATTCTAACCCATGATCTGTCTACCATAAAGTATATTTTACCTCAGCACTGTGGTCAGTGCGAGCCGGGTGCGAAATTGGTATCGGCAATAAGATTGTTATGATTGTTGATAAGATGATTGTTATTTGTTACACCATCTATTTGCGGTTTCTTATTTTTGTCCCTTTTTTATTTGTGTTCTCTACATCTCCAGTAAGTATATAATATTAATTAACTTGTAGTTAATATTAATTCGTTAATGCTCATAGAAAATAATTGGCTGAATCTTTATGTAATGTGTTTCATAATATTTAAATTTGAAAATGTAAAGCTCATCTTTTTCGCGGAATTGATAGTAAATAGTTATCTTTTTTCCACGGTAATATTTGAGTGACACACAAGATCTTTACAAACAGACCTTTAATGATAAAACATTTTCTTATCAAATTATTTATCATTTGTTGCCAACAGATAAACAAGGCGAAACAACAGGCTTTGATTCTTTTTCAAGGTTATGCACAAAGTCTTCAGTTTTGTTTTTATTTTATTATTATTTTTTTATTCCTTATTAATTTACATTTAAATACGTTTTCATTTCAATATATA